ATTGCTCTCTCATCTTTCATATTTCTCTCGCGCTTCTTTCTCCATCTCCTCTTCTAGGACAGAACTAAAACCACTGTCGGTACTACAAGGTGTCTTCCAGTAGCTGTCATGGCAGCGAACAGTTTTCATTGACGATGTGCAGCAGGGTTTGATCGGTTTCCCGTTCAAATTCAAAGTTCACAGTGTGCATGAAGAGGTATTTCTGGCTATACTGTATTGACATCCTGAATTGAGGTCGAGCACTTATTCGTAATAGGAAAATAGGGTGTTGTGGGTGACAAGATTGCCAAGGCCGACGAAACGTACTTCAATTGGCCAAGATCCAGGCCTAATTCTACCTTATCCTCTAATCTGTGCTCCAATATTGATTTTCTCAATGTTGTCCGTGGACTTGTCATACGGTGCTTGTAGAATCGTGGAATTGTTGGGCGTTGTCCGTGTTGCGAAATTTCCCGTCCCTCTTTCGGGCTACGTCTCACGCCTATGGACCTTCCACATGCACACCACAGTCCCCTTCCCTCATCCATTCTTCAAGTATTCATGGAGCCACACCTCCCTGCATATAACACTTGGAGGACCGTTTCGTCCCGCGCGATGGGGAAATGGTTTCCAGATGTTAGAAGGGTAGTGATTTTGGTCAGAAAAGAGCGTAGATTCGCTGATTCCGGGTTCACTCCCTTTTCATAATTGGGAAGGAGCGACTTTGTTCTACTACCTGAGGATTTAAATTTCCTCAGACAAGAATAAAAACCCTCTTCTCGGAGGGGTGTTCAGTTTGGATCTGATGTATCATAGGACAATCAGCTTTGTCAGCCTGTTGACGGCCCAGAGTTCCCAATAGCCCAAACCTTAGCCCAACACATTTGCGAGCATTACGGGGTATATTTTCTGAACGGCCTGCCTAATGCGATCTCGCAAATCTGGTAAATCTCGAATTTTTCTGCGATAAACCTCTGATTTAATGAAACCCCAGGCAAAGAAATCCAATGGGGTCAAATCCAGAGATCGCGGTGCCCAAGGCCTGTTTCCCCCGCGTCCAATCCAACGATTTGGAAAACGCCTGTTGAGGTATGTCTGAACAATTCTGGCATAATGACATGGTGCCCCATCCTGCTGAAAGACTACTGTGTCGAGAATACCATCTGCGAAAAATTGGGGTTCTAGAAACTGTTGAAGCATATCGAATTCACAAATTGCTTCGCCAGGCGTATGACATTTTCTCGTGAATTTGTCTCTAATCTCACAACATTTCATACCTCTGATTTGACAAGTTACTACCATAACACGTTCCTGCACATTCATCATCAATGATATGGATCTGAAATGTAAAAAAAAGCGAAAAGTTAAAAATAGTTCAGACAGTAATCTAATGTTTGAATATTGCATAGAAATGAACGTGTAGTCATATCATTGAGCCATTTATTTAAAATTCAGCCTATTTCAACAAAATAGATAGGGACGTTTGGGACACCCTGTACAGTATTTATAGGAATTCATATGACCCCAGGTGAATCATTCAGAGTGCTTCTTAAAATATTATATCGTGCTGTCTGGTGACAGAGCATACCAGTATTAATATAGATCTTTTGATGTCATTCCTTATCTCATAGGTTTGCTATGATACACGAGGACATCGTCAGAAGTGACTGAAAGATTATCTGGTGAGAAAATATTTCTTACTTACGACGTGGACTTCATTCTTCCAGGGCCCAAGTATATTGCTTGTCGCTAACTCACAGCTGCTGTTAACCAAGTGAAACTACCACAGTCATGGATGACATTGCTGCTGCAACCAGGGAATTTGCTTGTCAGCTTTTCAAGGTACCCTTCGTTTCTTTTTTCACGGTCATGTAATTTTTATGGAAATTGTGTTGTCTGGAATGAATGAAGATAAGACCTTTTTAAAATTAAAACATAGGTTGTAGAGCAGGCAGATCTATGAGGCAATAGTCATTCCACGTCAAATCAACACACTATAAAACATGACTTCCTCTGATTTTTATTAAATTTGGACCAAAGCTTTGTACAATTGAGAAAGTGGGAAATCCTAAATACTTTTCTCCTCAGTGGCTTAGATCTAAAGATAAGAGGCTTTAAATATGTCTGCTTTGTTACCTTTTAGCACCTCTGTCCCTTATACGCTTATAACTTCTCTTGTTTTCAAGGTAGGGAGATACTTAATGACTCTTCTGAAAGGTCTCTTCCTGCCCCTCCCGATAGCATTAGATTCGTTAGTAATATCTCATAAAAATCGCTACATTTTATTTATTGAGATACAAACTTATGACGTCATTTAGCAAAAATATCCTATTTTCTATTCTGACTAAATTTGGCTTATAGGCGTGCCTCTATAGGTAGAGCAGGTCTGCTGAGAATCATCTTGGGATATTAAGAACTTTTTGAGATATTGACAGTGTTTTGTCACTGAAAAGTAAAAAATTGTCCTTTGTCAGATAACACATTGAGTCATTCCATATCAAATCAGCACACCACAAAACATAACTTTCCAATTTTGATGAAATTTAAGGCAATGTTTTGTAGCATTGGGAAAAGGAGGTATCCGATATATTTTTGTTTTCAGTCAATTAGATCGCAAGATAAGGGATAATTAAAAATTTTTCTTTTTTGTCTTCAAGTGGCACCCCCTTTTCCTCAATATCGCAATAACTTCTCTTCTATTCAAGCGAGAGAGATGCTGTAACACATAGTCATAAAATCGAGGCACTGAAACTTGAACTCATTTTGAAAAATACCTTCTCTGGGATTTCCGTAAAATTTGTTTGACACATGTCGGTAAACAGGTACAACACGTATGCTAAAAATCATATTGGGATATAAATAACTTCGTGAGATTTGGACTTTTTTTTTCACTGAAACGTGAAAATTTTCTCTGATCCCTTAACTCTTAACATATAAGGGAATCGGGAAATGGGGGAATAGGGAAAAAGCCATCAAATTTGGCAGATTTAGAAAGGCGCATCTGGACTTTTTGCAGAGAATTTCCCTGGAGACTACTAAATTGCGAATGAAGTTGTTCGGTGGTAGTTTAAGTGCATTGAAATTGGTTTTGCACATGTGGAAGCATATTGAAAGCTGAGAAGTTAATTTTCTCGTATTGAAACAAACTCCCATGAGTGCTCTGAAAAAATATGTATTTTGTTGCGTGAATCTCTTTTGCTTTTGGAGAAATTAATTTTTGAAACTAGTGAGGGACTTTTGAATCACCCTGTATATTATTAATAGATACCATCGTCTCTCCCCTACCAGATTGTCAGAACGTATGAGCCGGAGAACTTTGTGTTCTCGCCGTTGAGTATAAGTATTGGACTTGGGATGCTATATGGAGGTGCTCGGTCTGACACAGCTGAGGAAATGAAGGCTCTCATGCATTTCGACCAAGAGCCACACCTTTTCTTCCAAAAACTAATCGCTTCTTTGACTGTGAGTTCACTTTCATATCACCAGCCAACTTGTTTGAGGCTACTAATGTTAAACATTCAAATCTAGTAAAATTGTTAAATCTTACAGTTTGAAGTACGAGAATATAGAGATGACCGATCAATTGCAACTAGGAAATGTCTTGTAATAGAATTCCAGGATACTTGCGACCCAGTTTTGCAAACGAAGTCAGAAGGGATGAATCCGTCTTTACACAGGTGTCCAAAGTTGCTTCATTTAGCGCTGCAATGGGCAGAAAGACTGCGAAGCTCTTGGCCGAAAATCAGGACCCAGTCTTTGCCAGACTCATGGTGACCTTCAGAGGGAGTAGAACTTCATTGCACCGAAAGAAAGCGATCAAATATCAGAAATCGTAACTAAGAGGCAAAAAAAGTAGATCTTTCAACAAGAACCATGGAAACAAAAATGATTGGAAATCCAACTGCTTCTCCATTTTACTTAGAATCATGATTCTCAACTGGATCTTCGAGAATTGCTGGGTGCATGGGTCACAAGGGGGTTAAGTGCGCTTAGAGAGCTTTGTAAAAAATCACGAATTTGTGTTTAAGGAAGATTTCGAAGACTTTTTCGGCAAACGTCATGTTTGCATTCTCTCACCTTACTTGTTCTAAATAGACCAAATCGGTGAAGCCAAGGCAATGATGCTTCTCATTGCTAATAATGCCACCATTTTGGCCGAGTCTGGATGGAAGCTTCGCGAGTGCCCTGGACCGCGACTCCGATATGCAATGTGATTTGAATGAAACCAAGTGCCCCAAACCCTGGGTTATTGTTCTCTCAAGAAATTCCGTGCCGTCAGCCCAAAATGTCAAGGGAACCCCACCGGAATCGCCTTAGATTTTTTAAAATTATAAATCCTGAGCCCTCGTTCTCTTATGATAGACCATGTAGCCCTGGAGGTGCGATTGCCTACAGCATCTCCAGGGCATTTTGAGAAAATTCTGTGAATATGGCTGTAAAATTAACAGACAGTTCATTCATCCAGTCAGATTCGAAAGGTGCAGCTGTTTATTCTTAGTCTAAAATCGAAGGTCACTTTAGCATTGCAGCTTTAGTATTTAAGAGCTTAATTTTAATAAAGCTTAATAAAGCTAAAGCATTTTTATTTTCTACAAATATTTGTGCATTTTTGACGACGAGAAATGTGTCGCATTATTTTCTGCGTCAGCAGAGGAAAAATCCCATATTATATTTTCCCAAGTCCCGTTTATACCATGTTTAGGCTCCCTGCCTGTTAAGATGACTTCACGTAAACTGTTACATCAAGCATAACAGTCAGTTTGGTTTTCTGGGCTTGCTACTCTTTGCATTAGTATCAAGGTCTCTTAATTTATTATTGGATTACTTTGAGATGGAGAAGCCGCAGCTCATAAGTTTGAATACAGCATTTGTAGAAGGGCGAGATGAAATTTAATTTTTCTGTTTTGAAGAAGACTGTGGAGGTTCTACCATTGAAATCCTATATTAATTGTGTTGTCATTTTCCCCTGAGGGTAGTGTTATTGAAATTAATAATTCCAGAATGCATATGGAGCACCTATCATGAAGATGGCGAACATGCTCTACGTGAAGAAATACTATGAAATATCAAACTCTTACAAGAAGCTTCTTAGAGAATCCTACGAGAGTGATATAAGGGAAATCAGCATGAATGATTCTGGCAGAAGGGTCATCAACTCTTATGTGAAGAAAGTAACCGACAACAGGATCAACGATTTAATCCCATCAGGTTGCATACAACCCATATTTTCTTTCTCGTTCACTGGATGCTGGAATGAGGGTGGATGCACCCTCATTCAGGAAACATTCTTTTTTGAACTCAATGGCCTTTTATCATCATAGGGGTCTTGAATGAATTGACGAATCTTGTGCTGGTCAACGCCATCTACTTCAAAGGGAAATGGAAAGAATGTTTCTTCCCGGAGGCAACTCGCCAATCTAATTTTCAAGTGAGCGAGAAAGAAACGGTGCCTGTTTCCATGATGTTCATCTCTGGAGATTTCCCCTTCGGCAGAGACAGCGATCTCAATTGCAAATACGTCAAACTTTCATATGTTGTAGGTGTAACTGTGTTCTAAATATTATTGGAAACCTGTTTCCCATTTCAAATCTTTACCACTTAAAAAAAACAATATTGGGATGAAGTAAATTTGATAATCTATCTATCTATAGGCGGACGAGCTGGAAATGCTGCTTGTGCTCCCTGATGAAGTTGATGGGTGGAAGACACTCGGGGAGAAGATCACAGGGGACACAATTGCTACATGGAGCCGAGAGGTGAAGGAGACCAGATCAAATATATATATGCCTTGCTTCAAGGCCGAACGGGATATCCCCCTGAAGAAAATCCTGCAAGAGGTAGGCATGGTGTCTGAGACTCTCTGTTGTTATGATCGATGGGGGCTCTAACATTGCGACTAAATGCTATGGACACTATTTTATGTTCATTATCTTCCACAGATGGGCCTGAAAAAGATATTCTTAGAGAGTGCAGATTTCTCTGGGATAGCTGGGGAAAAATATATGTTTTTGAGCGATGCTTTCCACATGGCCTCCATTGAAGTTGATGAATATGGGACAGAAGCAGCTGCAGCTACAAGTGAGTGATTGGGATCTCATCCCACCTTGCATGTTTCTACAGAGTTGCTTGTCCTACACATTTATTTCAAGTCGCAAAAGTTAGAAGATGCTCGTATTCACAGCATTTTGCATGAGGATTGACATTAGTATATTTAACTAGCGAGTTTGTTTGCCCGAAGGGCAAACAAACTTCGGGCTATGGTCGCGCCTTCGGCGCTTCATTACCTTGAATAATGATTAATTCATTTGTTCTTTGCGAAATGGCAAACACGTATTTAACCCTCATACTGGCAAGCTTTTTTACAGCCTATTCCGGGCAAGGTGAGTCTGTCAGACTCACATGTAAAATAAGGCCGTTTCCTGTGGTTACGGTATGTATTTCTTTGTAAATTTCTTTGTATTTTTGAAGAGCACGAACAAGGTGACAAAGTCACGAAAGCTCATTTTTCTACGAAAAAAATGACAGTAATAGACCGAAATATGTCGTAGTGAGTCCAGCGGACTCACCATGCCCGNCAGCGGACTCACCTTGCCCGGATTAGGGTTAAAGTACGTCCCCATTGAAATACGTGACATATGAGGACGAAAGTCTTGATTTTTATCAAAATCATTACTTCTATGATTTCTAGTGTGCATAACTTGAAATCTTTTCATGTGTCCCTTTTTGTAAGGGTGGAGAATACATTTTGAAGTACTTCCCTCCTATAATCTACGCTAAGGGGACAGATTTCAAAAGTAGGATTTTTCCTCTATTCAGCCATCAAATAGAGGGAATTTTAAATTTTCTGTCTCTGTTTCGTTGGATCAAAGAAAAATTCAGGAAAATGGGAACATGGGAAGAAAGTGCCCTGATGGGTTTTAACGAACAATTTTTTTCTTCTGAAATGTAGACTCAGACTCTCCATGCCACCCAGTTCCAGCCTTATACGTTTCCCCATTTTGCTGGCGGTAACAAATGTATTTGGAAAAGCGACCCACCCAAAAGCTGTGCTCTGAGGAGACGTACAACGAAAGTTGAATTTTTCCTTAAATCAACATCACGTCCATTATGCGTGCGCCAGCTGCTACTTTTCTATTTCTGCCCAATTCGCTAGGATATGAAAAATTCTTTGAAAACGTAACGTCCCCAAGAAATAGGCTCCCCAAATTCCAATATTTTGGGAATTTGACATTTTTCCTGAGCTCAGTGCGTCAGCAGTCACGTTCTTGCCAAGTTTCAGCTTTCCATGTGTCTCCGTTTGATTGAAGCAATGAGAACTTTTTGAAAATATGTTCCCCGAAAAGGTATCTCAGCTATCCATCAGGTTCTTCTTTGCCAAGTTTAAACTTTCTAGCGCCCTCTGTTTTGCTGAATCAGAAAATTCGAGAAAATACGCCTTTTGCAATACATGTGCCCTGAGGCGTTTTTACCGAAAAGTACTTTTTTTTTTGCGAAATCAATCCTCAGAGAACTTCATGCCCACAAAGTTTCAATATTATATGTTTGCCCTTTTCGCTGGTAAAAAAACATGTTTGGAAAAGCCGACTCACCCAAAAGCTATGCCCGTAGAGGATGCACCATGAAAGCTGAATACTCCCTTAACTCAATAATATCATGTCACTTATACGTGTGCCAAGTTTCACCTTTCCATTTCTGTCCAATTCGCCACTACAAATTTTTTTTTTAAACATCGCCCCTCGAAAAAATTCCCCCATGGGATGTATCGGGACAACATTTTTCTTTAACTCCTTGTCTCAGTAGTCACATTCATGCAAGGTTTCAGCTTTCCATGTTCATCAGTTTAACTGACGCAAACAATTTTTTTGAAAGCATCTCCCTTTGAAATTTGTGCCCCCGGGGCATTTACTTCCAAAGTCTGAACTTTTCTGCACGCAGCATCCCAACAGGTAGTTATGTAACAAGTTTCATCTTTCCACGCCAACTCAATACGCCAGGACAAACAAAATTACTTGAAAACGTCGGCCCCCAAAAATATGCCCCTAGGGCATGGATCGAAAATTTTACATTTTTCCTGAATTCATCGTCTCGGTAGGCATGTCCATGCCAGGTTTCAGCTTTCCATGTCTCTCCGTTTTACTTAAGAAAAATAGTGTCACGGAGGGAGAATGAGTAACGGGACTTTGAAGGTATGAGAGGCCGTAAGAAAGCCAAGGAACGGCCAGGAATTGAACCCAGGCATCTTGATTGCCAGTCAGGTGTGCTACCACTACACCACCGAACCAGGGACATCCAGTCAAGCCTCTCGATGCCATCCTCACCCGTCACAATATACAGGGCGTTTCATTTAAATTGTACATCTTTGAACGCTCATATCTCTGAGAGGACGCAACCGTTCTTTACGAAATTTGACCACAATATAGAGCAACCTTTGCCAAATTATTGGACAGAGTTTCTTAATCGCAGCGCCATCTATTGAGTTGAAACACCGATTCTGACAAAACCTCTGAAACCAAGATCTTATCAACTTGAT